AAATCAGAGTAGGAGAGAGGGTTAGACAGGGAGGAAGAAAGGAGGAGAAGGAGAACGGAAGAGGAATAAGAGAGGAGCAGGAGAGGAGGGAAAAAGAAAGTAAGATAAAGAATGAATGGTTAAAAAATAGAAGAGAATAAATATGAATAAGCAGGAAAATTAGGATTTGAGGGCGAATGAAGAAGTTGTTTATATAAGTAAGCAAAGAAATATTGAGATATGATTAAAAAGGGGGGGGGGAATTGTGGCAAAAATTGTAATTGAGTAAAATGTATTTGAATTTGATAAATTGTACAAGATAAGATATGGCCGATACTCTGTTCAAAAAAGATGTGGGTGAATGTGGGGGGGGGACACCAATAAAACTTGTTTTGAAAAAAACAAAACAAAAGGGACTGTTCAAACATTAAACATTAAAAAGTCCATTGTTGGAATTTTATGTTGCCTTGACCCTATCACATTAGTGGGAATAAGGGATTGCAGTATCAGTGGATAAAAAGCCAACATTATAGACTTCTTAATCTATAAAGAAGCAGGGGCCATATCATGTTTCGGGAGTGCGCACTCGCTATCTTCGAGCGATTGCGCACTCCGGTCCCCAATGATTTTCTCGTTCCCCAGGTAGCGCAGATCCTCAGGGCCTGGGCCGGCTGATGTTGTGCAATGCCAGGTCCGTGGTAAATAAAGCCCCCTCATTCATGATCTTATTCAAGAGGGGGGAGCGGACCTGGTGGGTATCATGGAGACCTGGTTGGGTCCGGAAGGGGGGGTGCCTCTTGTTGAGATGTGCCCACCAGGCTTCAGAGCATTCCATCAGCCAAGGGCCCAGGGTAGGGGCAGGGGGGGTGGCGGTTATTATTAAAGAAAGTCTATGTCCGAGGGAAACCACTGTACCTCAGATAGCCGGGTGTGAGTCCCTCCTCGTGAAGTGGGGCCGTGGGGTGCAGATGGGCCTGCTGATTATGTACTTGGCTCCCTGCTGCATGGCAGCGGCCCTGCCCGAGCTGCCTGACGTGATAGCCGGATGGCAGTTGATACAGTTATGATGCCCCATAACTGATGGTTATGGGGCATTTCAACCTGCCATCTGTCGGTGAAACATCTAAGGCGGCTCGGGAGTTCATGGCTTCCATGACAGCCTTGGACCTGACCCAGTTAGTTCATGACCCTACTCACACTCTGAAACACACTCTGGATCTGATTTTTGTCTCTGGTCAGTGGCAGAGTGATCTGGAAATAGGGGATTTAGTCTTCAAGCCATTGTCATGGTCTGATCACTCTCTCCTTTGCATGGACTTTCAAACCGCTACCCCTCACCTCAGGGAGACGGAGCCAACTAGATGGTTCCGTCCCAGGCGCCTGATGGACCCTGACAGGTTCCTGACGGAGCTTGGGCCATTCCCTGAGGCACTGGCTCACGGCGCGACTGAAGAACTGGTGGCCTCCTGGGATAGGGCGGCCACTGGAGCTTTGGACCGCATTGTGCCTTTGCGGCCTCTCACCTGGTGCCGATCTCAGCTGGCTCCCTGGTTCTCCAAGGAGCTGAGAGAGATGAAGCGCTGGAAAAGATGCCTGGAGAGCGATTGGAGGGACAGCCGCTCCGAATCTGACTGAACACTGGTGAGGTCTCATATTAAGATCTACCTAGTGGCGATAAAAGTGGCAAAATTTAAATATATTTTCTGCTCTTATCAGGTCTGCAGAGAACCGCCCAGCAGCCCTGTTTAGGGGGAACCGCTCCCTCCTTCAACTGGGAAGGAGGGAAGACCCCTTACAGGGCAGGGCTGAGGATTTTGTGCAATTCCTGCATGACAAAGTCACTCAGATTCGGGAAGCTTGGACTCTGATTGGGTAGATTCAGATGGGGTGACAGAGGTGGGTCTTGAGAATGTTATCTGGGAGGGGTTTGACCCCGTGATTCCCGAGGACATGGACAGGATTCTGGGTAGGCTTAGCGCTGCCACATCTTTATTGGATCCGTGTCCCTCCTGGTTGGTGCTGGCCTCCGGGTGGTTACACGAGGCTGGCTCCAGGGGATTATTAATGCTTCTTTGAGTGAGGGTTTCTTCCCTCCCTCTTTGAAAGGGGTGGTGGTGAAGCCCCTCCTCAAGAAGCCTTCCCTGGACCCGGCTATATTAGCAAACTATCGTCCAGTCTCCAACCTTTGCTTTGTTGCGAAGGTTGTTGAGAGTGTGGTGGCGCTCGGCAGAGTTTGCAAGCGGGCTCGGCAGTGCTGTGGCAGGGCCAGGAGGGTGCACATGTGTTGGGAGACCTTCCTCAAGTGAGTGGCCAGACTCGGGCAAAGTGCAGCAAAGGAGTGCATGGGTGGGCGGCTGCTCGCTTGAGTAGGGTCTTCCTGTGCATGCGCACCCTCCTGGCCCTGCCACACCAGCCAGAGGTTCATGGGAGGAGAAGGAGGGGGAGAGGAGGAGGAGGGTGGCCCAAAGGGAAGCTTCTGCTGTGGCTCCTGCATGTTCCTCAGCCAGCCCAAATTTCCAAAAAGAAGAAAGAAAAGGAATAGCGAAGAGCTCTGAGGAGAGCTCTCCAGCTTGTCCCAGCCTTGGCGTTCCAAGAGAGAGAGAAGAGATGCAGAGACACAGAGAGAGAGAGAGTGCACATGAGAGAGAGAGAGCTAAACACACAGAGAGAGACATAGAGAGAGGGGGAAACTGGATGATGGGCGAGCGTCTTTCTCCGAGCCTGATCCCTGGGGTGGGCATGCGAGGTTTCGCAGGGCCAGCCCCCTTTTCCCACTGTCCTGAGCTTCTTAAAGCTATGGCTGGGCACTGCTAGCCCATCCCTCTTTCTTTTGTGCCCTTCTCCAAGATCCCATTCCCACCCCGCCAGCCCTCATGTTAGCAAGGCTGACTTAGGTTGTGGCTGGGTCAGGCCAGTGTCTTGGGGTGGAGAGCAGGTTGCACATCTCCCCAAGCAACCGAGGCATGCCCAGAACAAACAAGAGAATTCTCTCCCTCTGCATTTCTCACACAGTAAATCAGAGCTCTGGTTTCTGCCATTAAATGATGATCTGAAGAGAGAAATTAATCATAAACATTAGACTCCATCACCTCTTTTCTCCTTTACCCGCTCTATCAAATAGGTCTCTACAGTGCATTCATACTTGGTGTATTTTAGTTTGGAATTTTTAGTTCTGTTGTGTCCAAAAATGATAGTAAAATGAAATCTAATAATTTGAGTCAGGAACAGATGGGAGAGAGAGGGAGGGAGGGAGGGGAGAGAGGGAGGGAGGGAGAGAGAGAAAGAGAGAGAGGAGGGAAAGAAGGAAGGAAGGAAGGAAGGAAGGAAGGAAGGAAGGAAGGAAGGAAGGAAGGAAGGAAGGAAGGAAGGAAGGAAGATCGAAGAAAGAAAGAACACGAGTACAACTTTCTTTTGTTTGGAAATTATGGAGTTAAACCTTGTTCTGGAATTGATCCGTCAAGTGTTTTCAAAGCCAGGGTAACATTTAAGGATGCAGACTCCTGTTCATTTCCAAATAAAATAAACATATACAGCCTCCTCATGGCTAACGTGAGTAAAAATGTCAAATGACCTAACGTTGTGGAAAAAATGGAGGTATCCCCTCACATCTAGGGGGACCTGGAAGAAAACCATGGAAATGGTTAAATGAGGGAATGCCAAAATATCTATGCATCTTAATGCAAGGCAAAGAAGATAGAACTGCACTCATTATTCATTGTAAAAAAAAAAAAAATCAAAAATCAAGTGTATTTTGTATTGCAGAATTCCCCTCTCTACATTTTATTAGCAATTGTGCATTTCAAAAAAAGTATTTAAACACTATCTATTTATTCTCTCATCAAAACAATGTATTTATCCCCTACAGGAATCGCCATATTTTGTGAACTGGGTAAAAACTCAAAGACTTGCATAGGCGGCTATTTCAATTCAACAACAATCAATGTATCTTGAATCTCAGGGGATTGACGCAAGGATAATAATGGCTGTGTGTCTGAGTCACGGCTACAGGTTTCCTTCCTTTATTCTCCCCCGCCAGTATATTTGTTCAAACCCTGATGCAATTCGAGAAATGAATTTGCAATTTCATGGATATCCCAGGGGTGGGTTTTCTGATTAGGTGCACTCTCTGATATAAACCTTGAATTAATCACCATGAAAGACAGAGACATTTTCAAGAGTGAAGATGTGGCTCCTCCTGATATTCCTGGTGAAGAAAATAGTGACTCTGAGCTGCCCTGCAAGTGATGCTTTCTTTGTTCCACAGGAATGGTACCAGCCTGGTGACCTCGTCATTGGTGGGATGGTGTCTCACATCATTTACAGCCTTTTGCAAATTAATTTTAAGGAATATCCTTGTATAACAACTTACAATATAACAAAGTAAGAATTTTCTTTTTCTTTTTCTAATCTTAATCAGTTTCCCCAAAATTGCTTATGAGAGTATAAATAGAGGCTTTATATCTAATCTAAGCCTCTCAGTCCTTCAAATGTTTCTAGTTATGGGAGAATACAGAAATTTTGTTTGACTTTATTTACTTGTCATATAATGTATGAAACTTTGGTGCAAAAGATCTTTTGGAGAACATTTGTAATATTCTTTTTAAATCTGTATCATTGTTCTTAACCAAATACAGTATATACAATAAATGACTGATACATGCTGGAATTGTTTTTGGTTGTACAGCATTTTAGAAAACCTATTACTTTCCCACTTTCATCAGAGAAAGAAATTTTATATAGAAATGATGCCACCTTATGAGAATTTGCCAACTTCCCTTTTCAACTGGGGTATTTAAATCAATTGCAGTGTAATAATCAAATTCTACCAGCACATCCTTGCCTTGGCCTTTGCTGTGAAGGAGATCAATGAGGACTCCCAGATCTTACCTAATGTCACTCTTGGGTTCCACATCTATGACAGTTACTACAATTCAAGGATGACCTATCGCACCACTCTGGACCTGCTTTTCAAATCCCAGGAATTTGTCCCTAACTACAAATGTGACACCCAGAAGAATCTCATGGCTATCATTGGGGGATTGGATTTTGTCACATCATCTTATATAGCTGAAATTATAGGATTCTTCAAGATTCCACAAGTAAGTTTTGAAAGGGTTGAGGGGAAAATTCTTAATCTTATTGTTGTTATGGAATAATTAATGAACATCCCAAATTAGTCTTATGTTTTTCTTAATATGGGTTAATATGGTCTGCATGGCTTAAGGTCAAATACTTAGCATTGTTTCCTGAAACTACCATGCCAGTTAGACAAAGTGAATATTGGGGTCATCCAATAGCTGAGAGAAGATTTGAACTGCTTTGCACAAAGCAATTGATCTAGTACAGGGGTGTCAAGCTCAATTTCATTGAAGGCTGCATAAGGGCAGTGTTGGGCGTAGCTGGTGTGGACATGATCAGCTCCATATCCATCATGTTGGGGCACCTGTGGTGGCCTGGGTGGAACTGGGGGGAATCCATTGTCTGCAGCAGAGGAAGGCAAGATCAGGAAGAGTGCCAAATCCTTATTTATTGATTGATTATTTATTTATTAATTTTATTTCTATACCTCCCTTCTCCCGAAGGACTCAGGGCGGTGTACAGCCTAATTAAAAACACAAAGATAGACAAAATTTAAAAATAATTAAAATTATTAAATAATAGGCCCAATTTGTAAAACCCCAAATTTAAAATCCCATTTAAAACCAATTAAAAATCTTTACATTGATAGCCCAGCCTGGTGGAACAACATGGTTTTGAGGGCACAGCGAAACACACGGAGATCAGAGATTTTACAAATTTCTAGGGGCAGATCATTCCAAAGGGCAGGGGCTCCCACAGAGAAGGCCCTCCCTCTGGGTGTCGCCAGCCGACATAATTTGGCCGATGGCACCCTGAGGAGACCCTCTCTGTGGGAGCGAACTGGCCGGTGGGAGGCTACTGGTGGCAGAAGACGGTCTCGAAGGTATCCAGGTCCAATGCCATGGAGCGCTTTAAAGGTGGTAACCAACACCTTGAATCGCACCCGGAAGACCACTGGGAGCCAGTGCAGCTCGCGCAGGAGGGGTGTCATGTGGGCACAACGAGTTGCTCCCATAACTACCCACGCGGCCGCATTCTGGACAAATCCTTGTCCTCCAGAGGAGCCTCACTGTCCCTCTCAGGCCATGTGGAGGACCCCTGGATGGTGGCTCAGGCTGTCCAGAGCCTTAGGCAGTGGAGGGCAAGCCCCCAGCTCTCCAGGATGCTGGGACCCCACAGCCCAGCCCAGCCCCGATGGGGTGCCCAGCTGTGCTTACCTCCTTCTTGAGGATGCTGTTCACTCTCCTTGGCCAGGTTACTTATGGTGGGTGCAGGCAGAGGGAGGCCATTCCCTCTCCACTCGAGGAGACCTGGATTTGTAACCAAAGCATTCTTAGTGATAGGATGAGAGAACACTAGGAGAAGTCAGGAGGAAGAGACAAAGGGATGGTGAAAGGGCAGCAGGGCTACTGATTTCCCTCAGATACTCCCTTGCTCTCATTATAATCTTGTTTCTTCCTTCCTTCCTTCCTTCCTTCCTTCCTTCCTTCCTTCCTTCCTTCCTTCCTTTCCTTCTTTTTCCTTCTCCCTTCCTTCTCATTTCTTTTTCCTTCCCTTCTTCCCTTCTTCCCTTCTTTTCTATATTCTTTAGGGAATGGTACAGAAAGTGTTCCTTGGATATATTTTATATGAAAACAAATAGAAAAATTAAATTTGATCAAAAGAGTCATCAGAATACTTCTGGACTTTCTTATAGCTGACCTATGGTTCATTAGCCCAAGAGGAATTTCAGACCAGTAAGCTCTCTTCACTTTATTTCATGGTTCCCAAAGAAGACCATCAGTACATCGGGATCATCCAACTGCTTCGCCATTTCAGGTGGACGTGGATTGGGATATTTTCCTTTGATAATAACAATGGAGAAAAATTCTTACAGAAAATGCAGCCCTTACTTTCAGAGAATGGAATCTGCTCAGCGTTTATAGAAAGGCTTCCTCAACAAATCCACTTGGAAAGATTAGTAGAATTTTATCAAATAATGACACTTATGTCTATTAATATGATGAATAGGAAAGCCAATGTGTTTCTTGTCTATGGAGAATCCTGGTCAATTATATCGCTAAGATTGATATTATTTGTGGTAGATCCTGAAAGCAAGGAAACTGCTTTATTTGGAAAGGTGTGGATCATGACTGCACAAATTGATTTTGTATTACCAGGCACTCATATCAGATGGGATCTGAAGATGTTCAATGGGGCCATTTCGTTCACTGTTCACTCAACAGCAGTTGTAGGTTTCAAGGAATTTCTTCAGACCATTAATCCTCTTTCAGACTACAGAGATGGGTTTCAACAAGATGTTTGGGAACAAGCATTTGATTGTTCTTTTCCAAAGCCAGAGTTACAAGAAATGGAAAATACTCGCTGCACTGTGGAGATGAAGCTGGAGGATCTTCCTGAGCCTGTGTTTGAAATGGAAATGACTGGCCAAAGCTACAGTGTCTACAATGCTGTTTATGCTGTGGCTCATGCTTTGCAGGCTCTGTCCACATTACGGTACAATAGAAAAAAAACTGTGGTTAAAAAATCTGAGCTTCCAAAGCCGCAGGCTTGGCAGGTATTCTCTCTGCACTGGATTCTTCTTCTTCTTCTTCTTCTTCTTCTTCTTCTTCTTCTTCTTCTTCTTCTTCTTCTTCTTCTTCTTCTTCTTCTTCTTCTTCTTCTTCTCCTCCTCCTCTTCCTCTTCTGTTTCCTCTTCTTCTTCCTCTTCCTCTTCCTCTTCTTCTTCTTGATGTAAAATTATCTTTGAACCCAATTTGGAAATGGAATAGAATAGAGTAGAGTAACAGAGGTGGAAGAGACCTTGGAGGTCTTCTAGTCCAACTCCCTGCCCAGGCAGGAAACCCTACACCACTTCGGACAAATGATTATCCAACATCATCTTAAAATTTCCAGTGTTGGGGTATTCACAACTTCTGCAGGCAAGTTGTCCAACTGACTAGAAGACCTTCAAAGTCCCTTCCCACCCTTTTATACTGTTCTGGCTAAAAGAGAAAAATGGTTTCTGTTGTTATTCTATTATTCTGATCATCAAGGAGATACTGTATAACTTATGGTTTAGATGTTGGCAGGAGCTGTTTAGTAAATTACCCTAGCTTGTACAATCACAGATGAAGTTATAATTTAGGTTACTTTTTATTGTCTCCTCCAAAAATAATCAATTCTCCTTGAACTTTCAGTGTAGCTCATGAAATTTTCATGGGTGACAAGCAAAGCTTTCTGCCTCTATCAGAGTTTTAGAGGAATAAAATAAAAGTGGTCCTTTTTACATGTGGCAGCCATAGTATGAAACAAACCTAAGTTTACAGTAATCTCTTCCTCTCATCCATCTATCAAAGAATGCTTTCAGATTCTAAAATTTGGTTAAAGGAAATTAGTCAGACCTCAAACTCTAAAATAGCTTTATACCAAAGAGGAAAGATTAGGCTAGGTTGAATTAGTTATTTAAGTAGGGAACGCAAATAATAATTGAAGGATGTTACATAATTCCCAAAACCTATTTTTCATTCTGCTTCAATTCATGTTTACCTTTTCTTACAATAATATCAAATTAATAATAGAGTGGACCAAGTTTCCATGCAATATCAATTTATCAAATTTCTAAGCATACATATTTAATAATAGTTATAGGAATGGTAAGAATGAGTGAATGAAACTGGAATATGACTTCACTTTTCTATTATATTGCTTTCAGTTTCGTCTCTCTTTTATTCTCTTTCAAATAGCTTCATTCATTTCTTCAAGGCATTTCTTTTAACAATTCAGTTGGGGAGAGAGTGTTCCTGAATGAGAAAGGGGAAGCAACAGGTGGATTCGACATCACTAACTTGATCACTTTTCCAAACAGATCCTTTCAGAGAGTTAAAGTTGGAAAGCTGGATCTAGAGGCTCCAAAAGGGAAGGAATTATGGATTGATGAAGATACGATTGTCTGGAATCCAGCTTTTCACCAGGTATCAAATTTATGAACTGTCTATGCCTTAATCCATTATGATCCTATACTGAACATAATCTCTTTTGAAATCTAATGTCTGGATTTTAAAGAAACAGTGGAGTATCCTTTTCAAATGTTGTTGATGATCAAGCACTCATTAAATTGACAAAATGATATTACAATACAAAAGCCATCTTTGGGTATTTGAATTGTATTACCATTTGAAATCACAAGAGTGGACATCTTTCCATGAGTTTGTATCCATTTGTTATTATTTGCCCACCCTGTCCCTCAAACAGGAAATTTTGTACACTATTCTAATTTCTACTTGCTTAATTTTACATCCTTTTAAATTGTGGATTAAGTAATACCTACATCTTTTTCATTTACACTATAAATCCCAGTTAATTCAGTATCCTTTAGGAAGTCAAAAATAATTCATCTCCGTAAACAGAAAAATTACAAACTGTTTTAAATATCTCCCTTTTCAAAACCTTTTTATGCTTATCACCAGGTTCTTCCATTTTCTCGATGCAATGATCCTTGTTTCCCTGGATCCTGGAAGAAGGGGATTGAGGGGGATCAGTTCTGCTGCTATGACTGTGTTCCCTGCCCAGAAGGGAAGATTTCAAATCAAAATGGTAGGCTAAGAATTCTACCAAACTTAATTAGACTTTGATAAACTACTTGGATGCATACAATTAATAAGGTGATTTTCAATCATATGGAATACCAAGAAAGGAGAATATTTGCAGCTCAGGTTGAAATGAGGAGTCCTTGGTACTTTCTGAGCTTGCTTGTTGTTGTTGTTTTTTTGCAGATGTTTCATTACCCTAACCAGGTAACATCATCAGTGGTAGTAAGGTGTGATGTTTGCTGTCAGTTTTGTGGGTATCCACTGTAAGGACTTTATTTAAACTAGCCCAAACACACCTTACCAAGCAAACAGCACTCCTAGCACTGATGATGGTACATTTTTATGGTAATGAAACGTGTGCAAGAAAACAAGCAAGCTCTGAGAGCACCAAGCACCCCTCAATAATACGGACTGCGTAGATCAGGGGTGTCAAACTCACATCATCACAGTGCCATCATGTGATGTATCGTGACTTTTTCCCCCTTTGCTAAACTGGGCATGGGCAAGACCAGGACGAGACACATCTGGCTTGTGGGCCACAAATTTTACAGCTGTGGCCTAGACGGAAAAAAAATATCCTTGATTTTCTTTCCAGATATGGACGACTGTTTTGAATGTTCAGAAGATCATTATCCAAATAAAGAAAAGAAAGGATGTATCCTGAAAACGGTGGTGTTTCTAACCTTTGAAGAAAACTTAGGAATCAGTTTAGTCTCAGCAGCTCTTTGTTTCTCCTTCTTGACATTTTGGGTACTTGGAACTTTTATTAAGTATAGGGATACTCCCATTGTCAAAGCCAACAACCGGTCCCTCACCTACACTCTCCTTGTCTCTCTTCTGCTCTGTTTTCTCTCCTCTTTCTTCTTCCTCAGCCAACCTGGCAAAGTGACCTGCCTTCTCCGACAATCAATGTTTGGCATCACTTTCTCAGTAGCCATTTCTAGTGTACTGGCCAAAACCATCACTGTGGTTGTGGCTTTCATAGCCACTAAACCAGGATCTCAAATGAGGAGATGGGTGCGGAAAAGATTGGCCTTTTCCATTGTCCTCTCATGCTCTCTCTTACAAGTATGCATTTGTATCCTTTGGCTGTCAACATTTCCCCCATTTCCTGAGTTGGACATGCATTCAGAGCTCCATGAAATGATTTTACATTGCAATGAGGGCTCAGCTTCCTTTTTCTATTGTGTCTTGTGCTACATGGGTATCTTGGCCGTAGCCAGCTTTATTGTGGCTTTCTTTGCCCGTAAATTACCTGACAGCTTTAACGAAGCAAAGTTCATCACCTTCAGCATGTTGGCCTTCTGCAGTGTGTGGATCTCCTTCTTTCCAGCCTATCTGAGCACAAAAGGAAAAGCCATGGTAGCTGTGGAGGTCTTCTCCATCTTGGCCTCCAGCGCTGCATTACTGGGATGCATATTCCTGCCAAAATGCTACATCATTGTTTTGCGTCCTGATCTCAACCACAAGGAGCAACTCATAAAGAGGAATTAATACCCCATGTGATATTCCTGGGTCAGAGAAATTGTTGAAAAAAGAAATAAAAAGAATGCAGGCTGTAATGAACATATATAATTATAGGAACAGTTATTTTTTATTTTTGTGAAAGAAGGATTTGTATATGATGTTTATGATTATTAAGATTTGTTATGATTGCCCATTCCAAAAGAAGTGCTCACGTTGCTGTGTTATCACCCTTTTCCAAGTTTTTTTTTTAACCTACTCTTTTCTCCTTTTCAACACATACCTTCAACTTGATTTTGGTCATCAGGCTTTCTTGCTTTCTGTTAGGATATTACAGCTATTGGCTCAAATGATGTCCAATGTTTACAGAGACATGTTCATCATTTTTATACTATCCATTCCTAAAATGTTGCATAAATACAGTAAAAGGCTGACTATCATTTTATGAACGTATAGTTAACACAGTATCGTAGGATAGCAGTTTTGGATTTGTTAGGGTTCTTTCAAATGTAAAATTTGTTGAATCTTGAATCTTTTAAAAAAAGGCTGACATTATTTGTTTAGATTCCTGTGCATACACTTTAAGCAATAAATCACATTACTTAAACCTCCATGTGTGCATCTGTTTATTTTTTGCCTGATTAATTTATACTCGAAAAAAAATTCACTGGGGACCAATGGAAAGCACCAGTAAGGCATCAGACCTACAAGCAGAAGCAATGGCTGACCACACAACAGTGGACACTGTCCTGCACCCTGTGTGCCATTTGTGCAATTTGACAGCACTCTAAGAACATAACAAATGCAGATTTGGTATAACTGGTACCTCTTGCTCCTCTGACACCAGCAGCAGCCTCGGTACTACAATTCATGCTGCAAAGGAGTCATGGAAGCTTACCAGAAAGATTAAGAGGAGAATCAGAATGGACGACAACCTTCAAAGCACAAGGAGAGTTGTTTGTGGGAACTTTAGCAGTGGGATTCCCAATCAACCAGTCATGAATCTCCTTTATTGAGTCTATTAACTGTTGTGACCTAGGCCCAAATAGTTATTATCAGACACAATCAGTCCTAAACAAACATATTTTATTAGAACAGCTGAGAATTACTTCATTCTCAGCTTAGTCCAAATTAATTCCAAAACAAGTCCTTCATAAACAGTCCTTTGGTCTTATCACAAACCTTTGTCTTCTTTGGCACCCTGCCAAAGGCTTTTCTTGGCAAAACCCCCACAAAGTTCAAAAGGAAGAGACACCGACAAGAAACAAATGTAGCAACATTGTTTTCCTACAAAGATCCCAAGAGCCGTTGCTGCTCTTTTAAACCTTATGGGAGGGCCAATCATCTCCTGGCCTTACTCCCAAGTCGTCCTTTTTGCTTTAGCTGCTCTTGTCTTCTGGACAAGTGCAGCTTTGCATGTGTGCACTAGGGAGAGACTCCTTCTGTTCCTCTGCCTCCCTGCTGTCCTACTCTGGAGGCTCCAGAGTCCATGCATCACTCCCAGATGGCCCTGGCCCCATCTCTGTCTCAGACGCAGAGCCCTCGTCTGGGCCTTCCCCTGACTCCAGGACTGGCCCATTGTCCTCCCCAGCCTCCTCACTGTCCGACTCTGCTACCAGCTCCTAAGGCTGCTGGCAGACCACAACATTAACAGCCTCAGCTGGGCTCTTAGATCACTTAGCTAATGACTTGATTATGGATTGCTATCAGAATTTCATGGCCATCTCTGAGATCGGATACCTATCCAATAGTTTATAATTATCCCTCACAATTCATTAGCTTGAGTGGGGTAATAGAAAGGTCAGACTTTGACTTCCGGTGGTGGCATCGTGCTGTGGTGGTTCAGAGGAACTGAGACTCCATTCCTTGTGCCGGATTTCTAGGGATCGGGGGCCTTGAGAGGCGAAGTTTTGTCCTAGAGGGACAAACAATAGAAGGAGGAAGTCTCTGAGGCAGCGAAGAAAGGTGCGGTTTCCTGCAGTGCTAGGAAGAGAACCTCCAACCCGACCTGGAAGAAGCCTGCCCTAATGGCAGTCCTGGAGGTGTGATGCACCGGCCAAAGAAAAGGGAAGTGAGGAGAAAAGACAGTACAGCAGGCATAACCCGAGCAGTGGATTTAGCCGAGGTTTGAAGACCAGCAAAGAAGTAGCCGGAGGAATGATTAAAGGGACAGAGTGAGTCTCCAATAGAGAAGGACTATTTTGAACAATTGGTGGCATTCTGGTATCAGGAGCAGTATAGTGAGCAGAAGAGAACAAAAACATTTAAAAAGCGAAGGGACCAGAGTTTCACTCTGTGAGATAAAAAAGGAATGCAAATAAGGAACTGTATTTTGGACTTTGAATCTCAGAAACTTGAGCTCCAACGGAGAAACGAAAGGCTTACAGTTGAGAAGAAAAGACTATGCAAACTATGAAAAGTGACTGTGCAAACAGAGAGAGATTGACATCGTAAGACGGAAGCTGATGCAATAGTGAATATAACGGGAATAATAATATTCAAAAATTCAAATACCCCTTTTCTTCCTTTTTCTTTGCGCTCTTATCAATTTTTTTTAGCTTAATATCCCTCCATATCTATATGTTTAAAATATTACTTAGTATTGTTAGAGCTGGCTATAGATCATATATAGTTTTTAGAAATATATAAATATTTAACCATGCTGACAAAATTATATCTATTTAAGAAACTTAGGAAATAGTCAGTTGTGGTGATAGTTGTAGAAAAATATAATAATATTTCTTGAACCCAATACCAACTGTATTTATTGTAATTACTAACTTTATCAACTGTACTTGTGAATAATTTGATCCTTGTAATTAGACTGAAGAGTATTTATCATATTTATTTTATATATTGTATTTATTGTACTAAATACCCAATAGTTAATATTTATTATTCATATTATCTTTACTATTTTTATTATCAACTAACCTACTTATTGATACATATTAGTAAAACTGATATTGATTTAAAGAGATAGAATTACATTGAGTAGAAGGAAATTAGCTTAATTTACAGAAAAGTATAATATATATATAAATACAAACTAGATCAATAAAATTGGATGGTAATTTGGGAGAATATAGATAAAATTTTAGGTGAACAGCATAAAATTATAAGAGAAATGACCACCATTACAACCCTGAAAACAGGAAAGAAGGCTACACCATTAGTCCTAACACTGACTGCATCTCCATCAAACCAAAGACTCACTGAAGGAATGTTAACTACTGGAAAATCGAACAACTCTCCAAATATGCAGGCAATGCAAGCTGTCCTGATATCATTACAAGAAACGATGGGAAAACTACAGGAAAATATGACAAAAAGTCATAGAGAAATTAGATCAGATATAAATTCAGAAATGGGAGAGATGAAGATCGAGTTGCACAAGTTGGATGAAAAAATGAGCGCCATTCAAGAAGCAATACAGAAGAATGAAGAGAGAATAAAAACTATTGAAAATAGAACAGAACAAACTGAGAAAAATTTAGAAATGACAGATAGGAGCTTCCTTATTAAAATTGGAGATGGATCAGGCTTCCTTTTTTCTGAGGTTCCAAAATGTCATGGAGACAAAAGATGAAGACCTAGGGATACTGATGGCAGGCTTAATTTCAGATGCACTGCAAAGGGACAAGCGAGAGATAGGAAATGAATTAGATGAGGTGTACAGGGTCTATACAAGTTATGCTAGATGCCATAAACTCCCCAGGGAAGTCCACATAAGATTCGCTTGTAAGAAAGTGAGAGATATGATATATAAGATCACAAGAGAGGAACCAATGATGTACAGAGGAAAAGAAATTATTATGCTGAAACAAATCCCTAGGAAGGTCCTCGAACTACGGAAAGATTATCGCTTTTTAGCAACCCAATTAAATAAAAGGGATATACGGTTTCGATGGATCACTCTGGAGGGGATGCTAGTCTCCTGGAATGAAAAAAAAATTAAAGTGGATAATATGGAGAAAGCTCAAGAACTGTATGACCAGCTAGCTGGCACAGAAGAAGATTATAGTAGCAGGGAGGAATTGTAATCACACGACAAACAAAGGCAGGAGACACAAAAGAAAGACCAAGAGGAGAAAAGAAAAGAGGAGAAACATCATCAAGGAGAAGAGGGAGTAAGAACAAGGATCCAAAGAAGGCAATGAGAGACACAAAATAAATAATGGAAGAGGAACTGAAATTAATATCATTAAATGTGAATGGTTTAAATTCACCGTCTATAAGAAGACTCATATTTTCCAAATTAGTAAAACAACAAGTAGATATTGTGTGCCTCCAGGAGGTACACATCCAAAAACATAATAAAAAATATTTACAATATAACAAATTGGGGAAACTTTATATAACATTGGCAGAAGAAAAAAAAAAGAGGAGTGGTGGTATACATTAAACAGGGGATAAGAGTTAAACAAATATACACAGATACAAGAGGTAGAATGTTGATAATTGAAATAGTAATAGGTCAAAAAAAGATTTTGTTAGTGGTGATATATGCACCTGATAAGAACCAAGTGGATTTTTATAAAAAAGTATATGATAAGATAATAGAGATAGGGAATGACAATGTTTGTTTGATTGGTGATTATAATGCAATAGTGAACATTAAAAAAGATTATGTAAATAACCAAAAAACAAAAAATAAAAAGGAACATCTTACCCATTTTTTTTTTTTTTGAAATGGCAGAAGAATTAAATCTATTAGACATCTGGAGATTTTGTAATCCACAAGAAACAAAATTTACCTTCTATTCCAACCCCCATAGATCCTGGTCGAGAATCGATATAGCTTGGATATATGGAGATCTAGTTAAAGATGTTGAAACTGTAGAGATTATGCCAAACACTTGGGCCGATCATAATCCTCTCAAAATAATATGGAAAGGGCATAAAAGAAAGGTAGATGGACATTGAATCCACAAATTTTAAAAGAGAAAGAATATATTCAAAAGATTCTGAAAGAATTGGAATTATTTTTTAGAGACAATAAAAAACACTACACCTCATTACAAAATCTT